TAGAGCACCAGTTCACATCCTGGCTGCTCTGCTTCTGATCCAGCTTCCTGCTAATGCACCTGGGAAGCCAGTGGAGGATGTCCAAGTGCTTCAGGCCCTGCATCCACCTGGGAGACCTGGATGGAGTTCCTGGCTTCTGGTTTCAGCCTGGCTGCAGGTTTTCTGGGGAGCGAATCAGTAGAGGGAAGATTTTTCTCTCTCTCTCTCTCTCTCTCTCTCTTTTTTTTTTTTTTTTTTTGCCCCCCTTAGGCTCACCCACCGTGCCACAACTCTGGCCCCAGATTTCTCTTTCAACTTCAACTTCTGTCTGTCTGTCTGTCTGTCTCTCTCTCTCTCTCTGATACGTTCAAAGAACTAAAGGGAGCCTGGTCAAATAGATATTCTAGAGCTTAAAAGTACAATAACTGGAATGAAAAGTGCACTAGAAGGGCTCAAAAGCAGATTGAGGCTAGGCCAGGAAGAATTATAAAACCTGAAGTAAATTGAGAGAATGCAATTCGAGCAACAGGAAGAAAAAGAATGAACAGTCTCAGATGTGGGATTCCATCAAGAATACCAACATACACTGATATAACCGAACTCTGAAAGGAAAGGAGAACGAGAAACAGCAGAAGAAGGAGCACCTGGAAAATAGTGGTTGAGAATCCCAAATGTGATGAAGAATTCTTAATGCATCCAAGAAGCTCAAGGAACTCCAAGTAGGATAAACCCAAAGTGACCCACAACTAGACGCTTTATAGTCAGACTATCAGAAGCAAAAGATCAGAAGAATTTTGAAAGTGGAGGAAAGCGACTCATCACCTCAGGGATATTAGCAGGTTTCTCATCAGAAACCATGGAGTTCACAAAGCAGTGACAGGAGCCATTCACAGCGCAGAAAGACTGCCAACCAACAGTTCTATGCCCAGCAAACTATCCTGAAAAGTGAAAAATTAGCATTAATAGACAAACAAAAGCTGAAAGAATTTATCACTGGGAGACCTACCCTGCTAGAACTTCTGAAGGAAGTCCTTCAGGCTACAAGGAACAGACACCAGGCAGTGAATTTAATCTAACACAGAAACATAGAGCTCTAGTAGAAGTAACGACACAGCTAAATCTAAAGAGGATGTATTCTCCTCCTCCTTTCTGATATAAAAGATGCCTGCATCAAGCGATAACTACAACCTTGCGTTCAGGAGAAAGATGTCGTACAAAGTAGAGGATAGGGAAGAGAGTTATACTGAAGCAAAGCTGTGCATACTGTTGCTATTAATCTAAAGTAATTATTTTCAATTAAGGTATAATTTATAATCCCAAGAGCAGTCACTAAGAAAATAAGCCCTTCCCTCCCCACCCCAAATATAGTGAAAGAAACAACAAGGACTGGGCACCTGGCCCAGGGGCTAAGACATCCACGTTCCACGTTGGAGTAGCTGGGTTCAACTCCTGGCGCTGGCTCCTGACTCCAGCTTTCTGCTAATGCGGGTATCAGAAACAGCAGTGATGGCTCAGGTGATCGGGTTCCTGCCACTGTGTGAAACAGGTGACCTGGATGGAGTTCCCAGCTTTCAGCTTCCAAGCATTTGGGAAGCAAACCAATAAATAAGACTAATTATCTCTCGCGCTTGTTCACTCGCTCGCTCGCTCGCTCATTCTCAATAAAAAGTAAAAATAGTTTTAAAACACAGGGCCGGCATAGTGGGTAAAGCCACCACCGGCAATGCTGCCATCCCATATGAGGCTGTTTTGAGCCCCAGATGTTCCACTTCCAATCCAGCTCCCTGCTAATGGCCTAGAAGAAAGCAGTGGAAGATGGCCCAAGTGCCTGGGCCCCTGCACCCGAGTGGGAGACCCAGGGGAAGCTCCGGCTCCTGACTCCTGGCTTTGGATTGGCCTAGTTCCAGCAGCTGCAGCCATCTGGGGAGTGAGCCAGCAGATGGAGGATCATTCAATCTCTCTCTCTCTCTCTCTCTCTCTATCTCTATCTCTATCTCTCTCTGTGTGTGCATGTGTGTGTGTATCTCTGTCTATTCCTCTCTATAATTTTCAAAACAAATCTTTTTAAAAAGTTTGAAAAACAAAAAATAGTACACCAGGGAACGTAGTAATAGAAGAAGAGTACAACGAAAGTATAAATAAGCAGAAAACAGTGCAAAATTATAAATACCTTACTGTGAATTACATTGAAATATAAGAAGCCTACTAAATACTGCCATTGAAATTGGCAGAATAAATTTTTTAAAAGATTTATTTTATTTATTTGAAAGAGTTACAGGGAGAAGTAGAGACAGAGAGGTCTTCCATCTGCTGGTTCACTCCCAAATTGACCGCGATGGTCAGAGCTGTGCCAATCCAAAGCCAGGAGCCAGGAGCTTCTTCCAGGTCTCCCACATGAGTGGTCCAAGGACTTAGGCCATCTTCTGCTGCTTTCCCAGGCACATTAGCAGAGAACTGGATCAGAAGTGGAACAGCTGGGACTTGAACCAGCGCCCAAGTGGGGATGCCAGCATTGCACCACAGTGCTGGCCCTGACAGAATAAATTTTTAAAAATCCAACTCCGCATTGTCTGTAGAAGACATATTTGATGTATTCTAAAGGTTATTACTTATTTGAAAGCAGAGTGACAGAGAGGGAGAGACAGAGACAGAGCGATCTTCTACCTGCTCACTCACTCCCCAAATGCCCACAACAGCCAGTGCTGAGCCATGGCAAAGCCAGGAGCCTGGAACTCCATCCATGTCTCTCAAGTGGGTGGCAGGCACCCAATCAATTGGGCCATCACCTGCTGCCTCCCAAGTGCAGTGGGAGGAACATGGATTAGAAGCACAGCCAGGACTTGAACCAGCACTCCAACATGTGATGTGGGTGTCCCAGGTGGTGGCTTAGCACACCGTGTGAGAATGCCTTCTCCAAAATTCACACTTTGGATTCAAACCACAAGTAGCTTGAAAGAGAATGAACGGATGGGAAATGATACAGCATGGGGACCGTATCCAAAAGGGATGCTGGAGTGGCTATGCTAATATCAGGCAAAAGGGATGTTAAGGCAGACATTGTACTGGAGACAAAACCCAGAAAGAGATAAAATAATAATGATAAAAGAGCCATTCGATGGGTTAGCCGTAATAACTATAAACATACCACAACAGAGCCCCAAAATACACGAAGCAAAACCTTGCAGAATTGAAGGAGAAATCAACAACTCAACAGTAAAGCTGGAGACTTCACTACTGTACTTTCAATAAGGCAGAGAATTAGCATAGAAATAGAAGACTTGAGCAACACCAGAAACCAATTAGGCTTTGCAGACATCTATAGAACACTGCACCTAACAGCAGAATGCTCCTCGCGTCAAGTGCACACGGAGCATTCTCCAGGAGGGACCATCTGTTAGGCCATTGAAAACTCCTCACACAATCGTAAAGGGATGAAATCATGCAAAGCGTATTCTCTGCAAACAACGGAACGAAACTGAAATCAACAACAGAGGGAAATTTGGGAAATTCACAAGTATGTGGGAATTAGACAACACATTCCTCAAGACCCAACAGGTCAAAGACGAAACCACACGGGAAATTAGAAAATACTTTGAGATAAATGAAAATTGATGGGCTGCAGGCAGAGCGGTGCTTAGAGGGGAATGTATCCCTGTAAATGTCTATATTAAAAAATAAGATCACAAATCAATACCCTCAGCTTCCACCCTAAGAAACGAGGAAAAGAACGTGATAAACCCAAAGCGAGCCACCGGAAGGAAATAATAAAGAGCAAGACCAAAATAAATTAAACACAGAACAGAAAAACAATAGAATCAAGGAAGCCAAAAGTCCTTTCTTTGAAATGAACAACACATTTGACTAGACCTAGAGAAATGAAAGAACTCGGGTTCCTAAGACCAAGAATAGAGGAGTAACAAGGAGTATGAGGGAATACTATGAGCAAGCGGACACCAGCACGTGAGCCCAGCCAGATTAAAGCGGCAAATTCTTAGAAACACACAAGCTACCAAACTGACTCAAGAAGAAATAGAAAATCCAAACAGTTATAAGATGTAATCAAATCCGTCATTTTTAAAAGACTACAAAGAAAATTCCAGGCGCCGATGACTTTGCTGGTAAATTGGGTCTAACCTTTAAAGGACTGACACTATCTTTCGCACACTTCCTCAGATCAGACAGACAGCACTTTCCCAATCATTCTGTGAGGCCAGAATTATCATGCTACCAACAACAGCAGTCAAAGCACAAGAAAAGAAAGCCACAGAAAAATATCCATTAGTCATACAGATGCAAAAATTCTCAGCAAAATGCTAGACTGCATTAGCAGGAAGCCGGACTCGAACCAGCCACCAACGCAGGACGCAAGCCTCGCAGGCAGCAGCCCCGCTATGCCGTAGTGGCAGGTTAAGGGAGAAAAGCGTAGATCGCGTCAACAGACACGAAAGAGCCTTTGACAGACGCACCATCCTTCCATGATGCAAAGTGCTGACATCCTGCGGATGGCGGGAGTTTCTTCAATCTGATAGCCGCCGACTGTGAAAAACCCACGCGCTAACAGCAGGCTGAGGATGAAAGACCGACTGCTTCCCCCTCAAGATCAGGTGCAAGACAAGCCTGTTTACTCGTGCCACTTCCATTCAACATTTCACTAGAGGTTCTGGTCAAGGCAATTAGCAAGGAAAAGAAATAAAAGGCAATCAGATTGGAAAGGAAGACGGAAAGCTAGCTCTGTGCACAGGCGTTGTTGGATCCTGTAGAAAATTGTGAGGAATCTACCCACGAGGGGGAAGACAGAACGGAACAAGCAAGAGCAGCAAGGTTTTGCAGGAGACACAATCGATAGACAGAAATCAGAGGCTATCTACACCCGAGAAATGAAAACAGCTCTGTTTGTAAGAGCGTCAAAAAGAATAAAATACCCACAAACAATTCGAGCAAAAGAAGTGCAAGATTTGTGCACTAAAAACTACAAAAATCTGATGAGCACACATCGTAGACGTGTATTGAAATGTCACAATGCAGCCGACGCATTTGTATTGTTGTTAGTAAAGTTTATTTTTTTAAGCTACAAAACATCATTGACATGAAAGAAGGTCTAAGTAAATTGTAAGATATTCCATGATTATAGCCTGGGAGACACACTATTGTGAAAAAGGCAACACAGACTTCTTCAAGAAGTTTGTGGAAAATGTGGAATATGAAAAACTCTGCATGGATTTCAAAATACTTCCGCACCTAAATAAATCTTTTTTCAATCCCATTGTCCACGACTTTTTGAAGTACCCTTATATTTTGGTCCAAAAAAATTTTGAAACCAGCGCATGGCTTTTTCATAACACACATTTTCCATTGGCTTATTAAGACCTCTTGTGTGACCCAAATTGACAAAAGACTCAAAAGCCCAGTTGCATTTTGCAGAAATTGATCATTCAAGAAGTACAAGGGACCCAGCATGGCCAAACTGTCTTGAAAAAGTAAAGTTGAAGTGACACTTCCCAATTTCGAAAGGTGTTAGGATTCTGCAGGTACGCGGACAGTGCAGCATTGGCGTGGGGTGGACACACAGGCCAAAGGACTAGGACTGCAAGTGCAGAAATAAATCCTTGCATTTGTGGCCGATTGGTTTTCAACACGAGTGCCAGGGCCAATCAGGGAGGGAGGAATAATCTTTTCCACAGATGACGCTGGGACCAGCAGACATGCCTGCGTGAAAGAGGGAAGGTAGACCGGCACTTCACTCCATCTCCAAAAGTCATCTCAAACCGCGTCCAAGACCAGGAGCTCAAACCTAGAGAAAAACATCGGCATAAATCTTCATGACCTTGGATTAGGCAATGATTTCTCAGAAATGTCACTGAAAGCGCAAGCAACAACAATAACCAAAAGATAAATTGGACTGAATACAAATGAAAAACTTTTGCTCGTTCTCCCACAGAATGGAAGAAAACATTATTTACAAATCATAATCCAGTGAAGGATTTATAGCCATTAAATATATACACTCTTATTTTTAAAAAAGGTTTATTTTTTATTTGAAAGTCCGAGTTACACAGAGAGAAAAGGAGAGGCAGAGAGAGAAGAGAGAGGTCTTCCATCTGCTGGTTCACTCTCCAGATGGCTGCAATGGGTCTGGAGCTGTGCCGATCCGAAGCCAGGAGCCAGGAGCTTCCCCTGGGTCGCACAGGTAGGTGCAGGAGCCCAAGCACTTGGGCCATCTTCCACTGCTTTCCTAGGCCATAGCAGAGAGCTGGATGGGAAGTGGAGCAGCTGGGACTCGAACCAGCGCCATATGGGACGCTGGCACCACAGGCTGCAGCTTTCCCCGCTACGCCACAGCACCAGCCCCCATTCTTAAAAAAAAATTGTTTTTTGTTTATCTGAAAAGCAGAATTAGAGGAAGAGACAGAAATATCCTCCACCTGCTGGTTCGCTCCCCAGATGGCCACAACGGTCAGAGCTGAGCCAGGCTGGAGCTTCTTCTGGGTCTCCCACACGACTGCAGGGCCCCAAGCACTTGGGCCATCTTCCAGCGCTTTCCCAGGCCATTAGCAGGAAGCTGGGTCAGAAGTGGAGCAGCCGGGAACTCCACAGGCACCCACATGGAACACCCGTGTCACAGGTGGCAGCTTAACCTGCTATGCCACAATGCAGGCTCTAAAATATATATAGTCTTAGCTGGCGCCGCGGCTCACTAGGCTAATCCTCTGCCTGCGGCGCCGGCACACCGGTTCTAGTCCCGGTCAGGGCGCTGGATTCTGTCCTGGTTGCCCCTCTTCCAGGCCAGCTCTCTGCTGTGGCCTGGGAGTGCAGTGGAGGATGGCCCAAGTGCTTGGGCCCTGCACCCGCATGGGAGACCAGAAGTACCTGGCTCCTGGCTTCAGATCAGCGCGGTGGTGCACCAGCTGCAGCGCGCCGGCCACAGCGGCCATTGGAGGGTGAACCAATGGCAAAGGAAGACCTTTCTCTCTCTCTCTTACTGTCCACTCTGCCTGTCATATATATATATATATATATATATATAGTCTTATAGATCAATCATAAAATGAAAAATAATTTTTTTAAATGGAAAGGGGATTTGAATAGATAGTTCTCCAAAGAAAATTCCTCAGTGTTGTTAGTTATCAGACAAATGAAAATTCAGGCCTGCAGGAGATGTCACTCCCTTGGCCCTGCAGGACGGCTGTGTGAGGAACAGCAGATGTTGGCAAGGACAGGGAGAGGCTGCAGCCACTCTGGGCCTTGCGCACTGCTGTGGAAGTTCAGCACGGGGCAGACACTTGGCCTTGCAGTTCAGGTGTATGAGCCCCACAGCAGAGGACCTGGGTCTGATCCCGCTCCAGCTTCCTGCTCATGCAGATCCCGGGAGGCAGCGTGTCCGCTCCCGGGGCTGGGTCCCCGCCCACATCACGGGGCTGGGTGCCCGCCCACACGGAAACCTGGTCTGCGTTCTGGCTCCCAGCTTTGGCGCTGGCCCCGTCCCCAGTTGTTGCAGGCATCCAGGGGAATGAACCAGCATATCAGAGTGCATACTCTCTGTCTCGCTTGCTCGCTCTCTCTCTCAAAAAAAAAAGTTAAACATAGAGTTACCATATGAAGTTCCTCTCCTAAGTATATATATCCATGAAAATTAAAACATATATCCACGTAAATACAGGTGCAGGAATGTCCGTAGCAGCATTATTCCCGAAGGTTAAAAAGTGAAACCAACCCAAATGTCCATCAGACGTTGAATGAATAATCGAAAGTGTTCCAGCCAGTCGTGCAGCGGAATAGTATTCAGCCATCAAAAAGGAATGAGTTACGGGTACATGCCACAGCCTGGATGAACCCTGAAAACATCATCTAATCAGGGTGGGGAACCTCCGGCCCATGCGCCGTGTACGCGGCCAGCAGAATCATTGCGTCTGGCTCTGCCAAGGCAACCGCGGGCAGGACTCGAAATCCAGCCCAAGCCCGGCAGGCTCATTTGTAAGCGGATGGTTTTGTACGGCCCGCTAGTGATGTTCTAAACACGCAGATGGCCCTTGGCAGAAACAGGGCTCCGCACCCCTGAAAGTGACAAACACCAGCCCCAGAGGCGCCACCACGTTCCGCTTCCATTTGTCCGAGGCGTTGAGAATCTGCGTTCGCGTTGGAGGTGATGGGAAGCGGCGAAGGGGCGACGGCTGCCACTCAGAGAGGTGACGGGAAGGCTCTGGAAGGAGCCAGCAGCGAGAGGGGCGCAGCCCTGGGGATGCCCTGCGAGCCGCCAAGGGCACGCTGCGAAAGAATGACTTCTACCGCATTCGAATTGCATCTCTGTCAAGGGCTGATTTTAAAAATAATAGGTATAGGCCGGTGCCGCGGCTCACTAGGCTAATCCTCCACCTTGCGGCGCCGGCACACCGGGTTCTAGTCCCGGTTGGGGAGCCGGATTCTGTCCCGGTTGCCCCTCTTCCAGGCCAGCTCTCTGCTGTGGCCAGGGAGTGCAGTGGAGGATGGCCCAAGTCCTTGGGTCCTGCACCCCATGGGAGACCAGGAGAAGCACCTGGCTCCTGCCTTTGGATCAGCACAGTACGCCGGCCGCAGCGCCCCAGCTGCGGCAGCCATTGGAGGATGAACCAATGGCAAAAAAGGAAGACTTTCTCTCTGTCTCTCTCTCTCACTGTCCACTCTGCCTGTCAAAAAATAAATAAATAATTAAATAAACAAATTATTTATTTGAGTGGCAGATAGTAGGTGCTAGCTAGCTGTAGATAATAGATGATTGATAGCTATAAATGATAGATGATTGACAGAGATGAGAGAGGTCCCACTTACCCCCAAATCAAGATCAAATCACGATCAAGAATGGGTTGGGGCCAGCACTGCGGCTCAATAGGCTAACCCTCCACCTGCGGCGCTGGCACACTGGGTTCTAGTCCCGGTCGGGGCGCCGGATTCTGTCCCGGTTGCCCCTCTTCCAGGCCAGCTCTCTGTTGTGGCCCGGGAGGGCGGTGGAGGATGGCCCAAGTGTTTGCGCCCTGCACCCCATGGGAGACCAGGAGGAAGCACGTGGCTCCTGCCATCAGATCAGCGCGGTGCGCCGGCTGCAGCGCACCGGCCATGGCGGTCATTGGAGGGTGAACCAATGGCAAAAGGAAGACCTTTCTCTCTGTCTCTCTCTCTCTCTCACTGTCTACTCTGCCTGCCAAAAATAAAGAAAGAAAGAAAGAAAGAATGGGTCAGCTGGCACCACGGCGCACGAGGCTAATCCTCCACCTGCACCACCAGCACCCCCGGTTCTAGTCCCAGTTGGGGCACCGGATTCTGTCCCGGTTGCCCCTCTTCCAGGCCAGCTCTCTGCTGTGGCCCGGGAGTACAGTGGAGGATGGCCCAAGTGCTTGGGCCCTGCACCCCATGGGAAACCAGGAGGAGGCACCTGGCTAATGGCTTCGGATCAGCGCAGCGCACCGGCCGTGGCGGCCATTTGGGGGGGGTGAACTAACGGAAGGAAGACCTTTCTCTCTCTCTCTCTCTCTCTCTCTCACTGTCTAACTCTGCCTGTCAGAAAAAGCATAGGGAACTGAATAAAATATGAATGGATCAAGGCTGCAGCCAGCAGCAGCCAGGAAATCCACCCAGGTCTCCTGCCCAGCTGGCAGGAACCTGACCACTTGAGCTATCACCAGGCCTCCCAGGGTCTACGTCAGCAGAAAGCTGGAGCCTGGAGCCAGAGCCAGGTATTGCATCTGCCGTGGGAGGCAGCAGCACTGATCCTTCCTGCTCGTCCGGCTCCTTCCTTGTCTCAGGCACTGCCCCGACCATCCCAGGAGCGCCCGGCTTTCACCTCTCCCCAGCCTCCTCTTTGCCCGGCCAAAGCATTTCGCCAGCTGCGAGAAAGGAGGGTGCCACAGTGGCTGCGCTCAGCAGGGCCGCGTCCCGCTTCATCTAGGGTTCCGTTTTCACTGCTTTTGCCCGTGGACTTGCAGGTCTCCCTGCCTACCCTGCCTCATCCTCTCAGCCCCTCTCCCCAAGCCTGACCCACCCGCAGCCATCCGCTGGTTCACTCCCCAGACGGCTGCAATGGCCGGAGCTGGGCCAATCCAAGGACAGAAGTCAAGAGCTTCTTCCAGGTTTCCCAAGTGGGTGCAGGGGCCCAAGCACTTGGGCCATCTTCTACTGTTTTCCCAGGCCATAGCAGAGAGCTGGATTGGAAGTGGAGCAGCTGGGACTCGACCTGGCACCCATATGGGATGCCGGCACTGCAGGTGGTGGCTTTACCTGCTATGCCACAGCGCTGGCCCCCAACTGCTTGTTTTTGTTGTGTTTGGAGCATTTGTTCTTTTATCAGAATGGGTCTAGATTGCGCGTTTTGAGGTTGCTTCTGCTTGCAGCCTGAGGTCAGGCCCTGGGACTTGGTGGCCGTGGACCCTCTGGCCCGGGACCCACGGGCAAGTCTCTGCGGCCCCTCCGTGGTGGCCGGTGAGGGGCAGCCTCCGGCATCAGCTGGCTTCCATGAGAAGCGGGACATCGCCAGGCTCCGCAGGCCCCGTCACCGGGAAAATGCCTTCTTCCCTGGCTTATTTGCTCAGGGTTTAAAAGATATTTCTGGGCTTTGGGTAAGAGGAAATTTAGCTTTCGAGCAAATCCTCGTGCACTGGTTTTCTGTAAACAGCTGAACGGAGTGTGTGCAGCCTGGGAGCGCGCTCTGCTTGGCTTCTCCTGGATTTCCCAGCCAGTCGGGGCGAATGAAGTCAGCGTGAGGCCTGACAGACAGGTCCTGGGTTCTGTGTCCCCAGCCCTGGAGTGGGGACATTCAGGGAGGAGGCTGAGCAGGGTCAGTAGGAGCCATGGAAAGGGATGAGGGCTGAGGGCTGTGAGTGAGCCTTCTCCCCGCTCCGTCCAGGGAGCAGCGCTGGGGCCATGCGCCTTGAAGATGAGCAGGGCCTGGCCCTGCACCCGACACACGGGCTGCTCCCTTCGTGTTGCCTGAGTTTGGTTGGAGGTGAACCCTTTCCCAGGACAAGTGTAGACCAAATACCATCACATCAGCAACCCCTCTGAAGGGTAAGCGTTGGGCACAGAATCCAAGACCCTGTGTGAGACGCCCGCATCCCATACTAGGGGGCTTGAGCTGGAGCCTTGGCGCCACTCCTGTGTGCAGCTCCCTGCTAAGGCACACCTTGGGAGGCAGCAGTAATGGTTCACGTAGCTGTGCCCCTGCCAGCCAGGCGAAGACCTGGGTGGAGTTTCAGGCTCTTGGTTTCGGCCTGGCCCGGCCCCAGCTATTGCGGGCATTTGGGGAGTGAACCAGCAGATGGAAGATCCTCTCTCTCTCTCTCTCTCTCTCTCTCTCTCAAATACAGTAAACAATGAAATATTTTAAACATGGACACAGTAAGACATCTGTATGAGTGAAGGTGCTAACCCGGCGGGTACCCCAGTAAACTCCGAGGTCCACATCACAGCCCCAGCCAGCACAGTTGGGGAGCGCTTGGTTGTACGCAGCCTCTCTTCCCTGGGACCCTCTTCTGCCTCTGGCCGGGCTGCCTTCTCACTTCCGCCTCCCCCCTTCCACCATCAGCCAGAGTTCGCTTCCTGCCGGAGTCTGTGTGTCTCAGGGAGTGAGAACAGGGGACGTGGAGAAGGCACAGTGTTGTCTGCTTGCCGGCTCATTTTCCCAGAGCCACGTGTGCCCAGGGCAAGGAATGACCGTGCTGCTGGTGGTGAGTGCGGTGACAAGGATGGGGGCTTCCACGTCCCCAGCGCCAGGCTCTCTGCTCGCCAGGAAAACCAGGGGCCTCCGGAGCCCACGCTGCTGCCTTCCCAGCCAGCTCCGCTCCGTGAGGGCTCAGCCCCTCGGGATAAGTGGCCTCGCTTCTGCAAGCCTCAGTTCACTCAGCCAGAAAACAGAGATGCTCATCGTAGTACCTAAGTCACAGAGGAGGAGCAAGGGCCGGGTCCTTCCCTCCCACGTGAGGGAGCCGTGCCATGCCGTGCCATGCCCAGACTTGGCGCTGGTCTCCTTGGGTGCCCCCCTACCACCCAGGGGCTCTGTAAGACAGCGGCCAGGTCACCTGTGCCCCTCTGAGCATCAGCCTCTGCATCTCGACAATGGGTACAAAAACACGAGGTGGGCGTGTGGTGCAGTGGTGTAGTCACCGCTTAGGACAGCTGCATCCCCCATCGGAGTGCCCGGTTAGAGTCCTGGCTTCTCCACTTCTGAGCCAGCTTCCCGCTGTTGCACATCCTGGCAGACAGCAGGTGCTCTCTCAATACTGAGGTCCCTGCCACCCACATGGGAGACCCACATGGAGTCCCAGGCTCCTGGCTGCCTCTTGGCCCAGCCCCGGCCGTGGTGGACATTTGGGGAGTAAACCAGAGGATGGACAATTTCTGTCTGTATCTCTCTCTCTTTTTCAAATACAAGGAAAATAAAGTGATACTATGTTTAAAATATCATTCCTGCCCCACAGAGTAGCATTAGCACTAAAAGAAATAAAACAGCGAAGAGCTTCGCTGTGTAGCCTAACACAGAATGAGCGCTCAGTCAGCGTGCGCTCTTAGAATTATCACACAGCCAGCGTTATATGAGTGCACGCAACGCCTCCTCCCTGGGATACAAAATGACAGATGAGGTTGCTCGGGTGTGTTGCCTGCTTGGAGAATGAATGAATGAATGGAGGAATGAATGACTCACCACGCTCAGCGCCGTCTTCTGCAGCAGTGGGTGCACAGGCTCCGTTTCTCGGAGCAGTGGTGATGTCTGCCAAAATAAATTAACTTTCCCACATCAGTGACTCATTTGGCTGGAATAAGAGCCTTGCAGACTGAATGGGGGCGGGGAGGGAGGAGGCCGGCGGCAGGGGGAGGCTGGCGAAGAGCGCTGTAATGACTCAAGACAGAAGAACCCGCTCTTGTTCTCTCTCTCTCTCTCTCTTTCTCCCTCTCTCCCCCCTCCCTTTTTAACTCTGGCATGTACATAAAACCTTTTGAAGTGGGGGAAGTGGAAGCCCCAAGCTAGCCAGTGGCTTTGGATATCAGAACCATAAAAAGGAGCCTTAGGGACAGCAGCATCAGCCCGTCTCTGGGTGGACAGGGGTCCAGGGCCCGCCGTGGCCACACCATGGGTGGCAGGCCCAGGCCAGCTCCAGCCTACCCCGCTGCCAGCCAGATCTCCCTCCCCACCCTCCCGCGCGCCCTGGGACACTCGCCCTCCCCTTGCCATTCCCACACTCTGCCCAGGCTTCCTCCAGTGCCTGCAGAGGCTGCAGGGCAGAGCCAGGCAAGATCAAAGACGGAGGCCACAGGTCCTGCCGCCGGGGCGGAGACGGCCGAGAGGGACTTAATTACCTGCTCCTCGTCTGCATGGGGGTTTTCGGAGCAGCCCTCCCGCAGCAGCCCTGCCTGTCTCCTGGAAACCAGAACACAGGCAGTGACCTGGCACAAAGGAGAAGGGTGTGAGGAGCGGAGAGGAACTTCGTGGCCTTGCACACGGCGGTGTTCCATCCGAGAAGTGGCTCCAACAGACTCACCCTCCCGCTCAAACCGTCTCTGGCTCCCCACTGCCTGCAGGACACAGCCCATCCGCACGCTATGGTTAACAGCGTGGGTGCAGAGTAGAATCTATCTCATTGGTGACCGAAGATTGAATGCGGCGACACACGGGAAGCGCTCCGTTCATGGGCTGCTGGGTAGTTAGGGTCCATTATTCGCGACCCAGGGTAACCACTCTTGGTCCCTCACCCAATAGCTGTGATCTCTTTTTCCTTGATGAATTCCCATGATGCTGTTGTGTCCAGGCCTACCTGATGAGTCATATCCAAGTCTAAAAATAAAAAATTGGGGGGCAGGCATTTAGCCCAGCAGCTGACACACTAGCTGAGACTCTCGTGTACCATGTTAGAGCCCCTGGGTTCAACTCCCAGCTCCAGCTCCTGATTCCAGCTTCCTGCTAACTCACACGCTGCGAGGCAGCAGTGGCTTTCTGAGTGATTGGATTCCTACCTCCCACATGGGTGGCAGTGGGAGATGTGGATTGAGTTGCAGGCTCCTGGCATTGGCCTTGGCCCAGCCCTGGCTGCTGTGGAGAAGTGAACCAGTGGATGGGCCTTTCTCTCTCTCTGTCAAACCATCTGCTTGACCCTGCCCCCTGCTTCTCAAATAAATAAATAAATATATATATATATTTTAAGATTTTATTTATTTTATTTGAGAGGTAGAGCTACAGACAGTGAGAGGGAGAGACAGAGAGAAAAGTCTTCCTTCCGTTGGTTCACCCCCCAAATGGCTGCAATGGCCAGAGCTGCGCCAATCCTAAGCCAGGACCCAGGAGCTTCCTCCCAGTCTCCCACGTGGGTGCAGGGGCCCAAAGACCTGGGCCATCCACCACTGCTTTCCCAGGCCACAGCAGAGAGCCAGATCAGAAGTGGAGCAGCCGGGACCAGAACTGGCACCTATATGGGATGCTGGTGCCGCAGGCAGAGGATTAACCTACTGCACCACAGCGCTGGCCCCAAATATATATTTTTAAATGTTGGTATCAGGGCTGGTATTGTGGCGCCTCAGGTTAAGTCGCCACCTGTGAGGCCAGCATCCCACGAGTGCCTGTTTGAGTCCCAGCTGCTCCACTTCCCATCCAGCTCCCTGCTCGTGCACTTGGCAAGGCAGCAGAAGATGGCCCGAGTGCTTGAGCCCCTGCCACCCACATGGGAGACCCAGATGGAGTTCCAGGCTCTTGACTTCAGCCTGGTCTAGCCCTGGCCATTTGGGGAATGAACCAGCAGACAGAAGATCTTTCTCTCTCTCTCCCGCCACCCCCATCCCCCGTAACTCTGCCTTTCAAATAAATCTTTTAAAAAATAAATGAAATAAAAATACTCGTATTGTTCCCTTTGCCAGTGAGTGGCCTGCTGGTGTGCACAACCCAGTCTTGTTCAATGAAATGTAAAGTTTGCTGGGGATCATGGAAATATTTTTCTCTCCCAAGGAAAAAAGTCGTTGTTAAGAACAAGCTTTTCTCCCCGCTTGCTCTTTTTCCTCCCCTCTCATACTTAACACAGTGTGTAAGGATGAAGGGTGTGATATCAGGTGCCTTGGCAGCTTTCTTGCAACCAAGAGAAGAGACCTCATCAATACCCTAAGGTTGACAGAGAGTTCTAGATGACATCGTTGGCCCTGACAGGGTTGGGACTGTGCACCTTTGTTCAATATATAGTAAAAGTTCATGTAGTTCAAGTCACTCTTAGTGGGTTTTTCTGTGATGTGCAGGCTAACACATAACTGAGGTTTTAAAAATATTTATTTGAGGCCGGCGCCGTGGCTCAATAGGCTAATCCTCCGCCTTGTGGCGCCGGCACACCGGGTTCTAGTCCCAGTCAGGGCGCCGGATTCTGTCCCGGTTGCCCCTCTTCCAGGCCAGCTCTCTGCTGTGGCCAGGGAGTGCAGTGGAGGATGGCCCAGGTGCTTGGGCCCTGCACCCCATGGGAGACCAGGAGAAACACCTGGCTCCTGCCTTCGGATCAGCGCGGTGCGCCAGCCTCAGCGCGCCGGCCACGGTGGCCATTGGAGGGTGAACCAACAGCAAAGGAAGACCTTTCTCTCTGTCTCTCTCTCTCACTGTCCACTCTGCCTGTCAAAAAAAAAATATATTTATTTGAGAGAGAGGGAGAGAGAAATCTATCTACTAGTTCACTCCTCAGATGGCCGTGACAGTTAGATCTGGGCCAGACTGAAGCCAGGAGCCAGGAACTCCACCTTGGTCTCTCACATGGGTGCAGGAGCCCAAGCACTTGGGCCACCTTCTGCTGCCTTCCCAGGTGCATCAGCAGGGAGCTGGATGGGAAATGGAGCAGCCGGGACTTGAACTCCGTATTGGCTCCAATACGGGATGCCACCTCCACAGGTCGTGGCTTAACCTGCTGACCACAATGCTGGCTCCAAGAGCAGCCAGTCTGCAAGGTGGCTCTCAGGGACCCCTGCCCCCGGCAGTCACAGCCCTCTGTGATGCCTGTACTCCCTTCCCACACCAAACAGAGCTAACCTGGGTCATCAGTTGCATATCACAGAAACCACGAAGCCTGGGACATCCGCCGTGTCGTGGCTCTTGGCTCGTGCTCTCTGTTGGTGACTCACTCAAGAGGGAAGCCTGCCACCGCGCTGCGAAGACACGCACACAGCCTTGTGGGGAGGTCCGTCTAGGAAGGAAGGGAGTGGTCCCGCTGGCAGCCTGCACCCACTCGCCACATCAGCGCGCCATCTTGAAATACAGCCTGCAGCCCCCTTGGAGCCTTCGGCTCAGAGTGCAGCCCCAGCTGATAGGGTGAGCTGATATGGCGCCCAACCACTCCTGGATTACTAAGATAGCTCAATAATCTGACCCAGGTGTTTATTATTGTCAACCACTAAGAGACAGGCCACAAGCTACACAGCACGAGATAGCTCACACACCCCATACTCAAAGCCACCTAATAGGAGGCCCCGTCCCTAGCTTCCCCTCCGCCCTTCCTCCTCCCTCCTCTGCGAGCACTCACTCCCTCGCGCTCCTCCTGTGCACCCTTCTTGCCTGGAGCACCGGGCCCTGCAGCTTCTCTCTGGCTCTGCTTTCCACACCCGGTGGTTCGGATTTCTCCTTTTTCCCGGTCCTCCATGAACATGGTCTCTCTCTGCAGCTCCAGAGCATTTTTTTTTTTAAAGATTTTTATTTATTTATTTGAAAGTCAGAGTTACACAGAGAGAGGAGAGGCTGAGAGAGAGAGAGGTCTTCCATCCGATGGTTCACTCCCCAATTAGCCGCAATAGCCAGAGCTGCGCCGATCCAAAGCCAGGAGCTTCCTCCTGGTCTCCCACGTGGGTGCAGGGCCCCAAGGACTTGGGCCATCCTCTATTGCTTTCCCAGTCCATAGCAGAGAGCTGGATCGGAAGTGGAGCAGCCGGGACTCGAACTGGTGCTCATATGGGATGCTGGTGCTTCAGGCCAGGGTGTTAACCCACTGTGCCACAGCGCTGGCCCCCACCTCCAGAGTATTTAAAGCACTTTATTTATTTAGTATTTGAAAAGTAGAAAAATTCCATCTACTGGTTCACTCCTGAAATACACTTGACCACCAGGGCTGGGCCAGGAGCCTGGAACTCACAGGTGGTCGGGACCCAAATACTGGGGCCATCACCAGCGGCCTCCCAGGTTGTGCAGGTTAGCAGGAAGCTGGAATTGGAAGCAGAGGCGAGTCTTGAACCCAGGTAATTGATATGTGAGCGTCTCAGGTGCCATTGCACCAAATGGACCCCACTCCCAGAACTTTGGCTGTGTGCTTCTAGAATCAGCAAGCAGTTGGGGAGGGCCTGCTCTGTGTTAGATGGTTAGAGTACAGTGAACAATGGTATTCCTGAGACGGAGGAGCTGTGTCTCCCAGTGGATGCTGCGGTGAGCTAGGTGACTTTTTACTTTAAGGAACAATAGTGTCGTGAGGCCAGATTTGCTGGCTAATTCGGATCCTCGCGTTCCTGCAGAGCCCTTAGTACACAGCTCATGGGAAGAACTCAGCGAACCCCTATGAACCGAATGGCCCAAAGAGGCTTTAATGGGTAACACGATCCCGATGTAGGGTTGCTGCTTCGCTGGTCCACAGCGTTTCTCAGGTGAAGGTTCCACGTGCGAGGCTGGATCAAGGGGCTCAGGTAAGGTCATCGGGGCCCGGAATCTGCACTTTTGTTGCTGCTGATTTCTTTCTCTCCCAGGGGGATCCTCCAACTCCAAGACCAATGCACAGAGCATCCCTTGCCCTCTGACCTTGCCCAAGTCCCAGGATTAGCTCAGATCGGCTCTGATTGAGTCACGTGGGCATCTCTGAACTAATCCTTGCGTCTGGGAGATTCGGTGCTCTTATTGGTTAGACCTGGCTCGCATGTCCACTGCATATCTATTGCTACATAACAAATGAGCCTAAAATGTCACAGTTTTTTTAAAGTACATTTATTATTATACATTTTCTTTTTTTCGTTATTTATTTGAGAAGCAGAGTTACAGACAGAGAGGGAGAGATAGAGAGAAAGGTCTTCCATCCACTTGTTCACTGCTGCAATGGCCAGAGCTGGGCCCATCTGAAGGCAGGAGCTTCTTCCGGGTCTCCCGTGCAGGTGCAGGGGCCCAAGGACTGGGGCCATCATCCACTGCTTTCCCAGGCTATAGCAGAGAGCTGGATCAGAAGAGGAGCAGCCAGGACTCGAACTGGCAGCCATGAGGGATGCCAGTGCCGCTTAGCCCACTACACCACAACGCCAGCCCCGCATTTTCTTTCTTTTTTTTTTTTCAAATATTTATTTGTTTATTTGAAAAATAAAGTGAGAGACAGAGACAGATGGAGAGAGAGAGAGAACTTCTGTCTGCTGGTTCCTTCCCCTAATGGCCACACAGCTGGGAGCAGGCCAGGCTGAAATCAGGAGCCAGGAGCTCCATCCAAGTCTCCCAGGTGGATGGCAGGACCCCGGGCACTTGGGCCATCTTCTGCAGCCTCCCAGGTGCATTAGCAGAGAGCTCAATTAGATGTGGAGGCAGGACTTGATCCCAAACACTCTGATAAAGGATGTGGGTGTCCCAAATGGTGGCTTAACCTGCGGCACCACGATGCCTGCCCCCTTTCTGTTGTCCTGTAGGAGCTGGACACGCACAGAGGCCTCGATCCACAGGCTCCAAGGAGCTTCCTGCGTGATGCACACACACGTGCGGGAGCACACACTCAATATTGTTTCAGTGCGAGGCAGCCGTCCACCCTCCGCTGCTTCAGTCGGGCC